TCTTCGTCAGTGAAGTGGTCATCAAGTACAGAAGTTGCTAATTTCAGTATTGTTGTTTTTATGGACTGAATCCATCGTTTACTATACTAAAGTGAAGCCATGACTGGCTCTGCCCCTGTCTTCAGGTCCACTATAAGGAGATAATTCATGTCTCCCCTTCTAGTGGACCCATCAAAGTAGGTTTTATCACCAGAAGACGGCGGCAGAGCCAGCTCAGAAACGTCATGGCTTCATTTTACTTACTGAACGATGGATTCAGTAAAAGGAAAACCAACAGTAACAATATTGAAAGTAATAAACCATCATTAAAACGCTTTAAGTTGCTGCTACTCCAGAATCGTCCTCATGTTGTAAAATCTTTCCCCAATTTCATGGAGCAGCATGGTTCAGAAGCTGATAGTCGCTCAAATGGTCAAGAATTTTCCTTCTGTGGAACCCGAAAGTTCATTACAGTGCACATAGGAGTCAGTCACTGTGGTGTCTTGAGCCAGCCGAATCCATTCCGTCCTGCCGCATGCTTTTTATTCAAATGTTTTTCTCCACTTTGCGTAGAACGGAGTTGTCTGTTTTATTCAAATTTGCTGTCTGAACTTTTACCCCCACCCCACTCTTCGTTCCCCTCCCTCAGGTTCACTTATTCTTAGAATCACGCTCCCCAACTCTGTTCTGCCCATACATTGGGAATCCAAGTTTCTCACTGACATAGCATGACACTGGCTGATACTTAGAATTGTTCGTTCCCTGAAACTTTACTGTGTGGAAAAAAGTCATTTCTTCTGTGCAAAGAATTCAGCGCGTTTAAGATCTTCACATGGTTGAGGCATTACATTTCGTGGCGTGTTGCAACGTAAGTTATACCAGAACTGGGTCGCTAATTACATAATCCAGAAGAATGTTTCCACGTTGCCACTGCCATATCATTGTAATTGTAGTGTAACAAGCTTGAGTCTTCGTAGTCGTAATACTAGTAGGTCCAATGCAGCAAAGTAGCTGCTCTTTCCAAAACATTTTAATGCTTCTGATAGGCAATTTCTTTCCGGATAGCCAGCTAGAAGGTCCCCAGTTACGTTTACCTCAAAGGATTGTTATGCGTAGTCCTTGTATTAGGAACTTCTGAACAATGGCAATTAGTCTGAAGATTGCTGTCTTCTGGGTTGTTGCGCCGTTTAGTCTGGTAAATTTCCACTAACGTTTCAGATGTCCATGCTGCCTCCATTATCAGGGCTATCAGCATGGACCTCTGAAACGATAGTGGACATTTACCAGACTAAACGGCGCAACAACCCAGAAGACAGCAATCTTCATGCTCATCGCCCTGATGACGGAGGCAGTATGACCTCTGAAACGTTGGTTAACATCGACCAGACTACACAGCGCAACAACCCAGAAGACAGAAATCTTCATACTCATCGCCCTGATGATGGAGGCAGTATGACCTCTGAAACGTTGGTTAACATCGACCAGACTACACAGCGCAACAACCCAGAAGACAGAAATCTTCAGACTCACCGCTGTGAAAACCTCACATCTTACACGGCAATTAGTTTATTTATTCTTGAGTCTGTGCTTGAAGTATATATATTATTGGAAACTTCTTAAACAGATACCAGAAGAAGTAAAATATAATCCCCTCGTGCAGTGTTATTTGTTTCTCTCCGTGTTTGGTCTGGTTTCTAGGCGATCATATTCAGTTTTATGGTGCATAAAGCACAGTGTCCACGGCTGTTTCCATGGTGCCAGTCGTTTAGTCATCCGCATGCGGTTGCACGGCATTTCCGTTGTTCGCTTCTGTTAAGAGTTGCTCATCGTAAATGCGCGTTCATAATGTTTGCGTAATAAACGTTTGCAGTTTTGCTATTTAGATACAGTTAGTTATTGTTAAACCATTCGGCCGGGGTTTTCTTAACGTAGACTGACTGTTCCTTTGGCCATTTTACCTCCGAATTGAAGTCAAATATGTGACGCACTGATGTTTACTTGAGCTGAGTCTCTTTTGCTGCAGGACTAAATGAGGCATGCTGGTTTGTCTTATATTTTTTAAGTCGCCTACACTTTTGTCCTGGAATTCAAACAAGAAGGCGGTAAGTGGAGGATGCGCGGTAGCAAATGTTTCCACTTCGCGAGTTAAATCAATTAGTGTCACTCAGTATTTGTTAGTACGGTACAATTTCCCTCCCTGCTTTTACAACTTCATATAATTGGTACTTGAAAATAAAGTGTTTCGGGTGGTTTAGTGGTAGTGAAGCTTTCCTGTGCTTTAAAAACGCAATACATGGTAACTAAGGGACAGTTTTTACGCAGACAAGATAGAGACTTGGATTTTAAGACGCTTCGTTATTTTGAGCGAAAGACGGGGGATTTTGGGCCTGTTTTCCATGTTTGCAAGTCTCAAGGAATCACAGCTGATGCATAAAGTTTTGGTCGTACTGTTAGGACAGCAACATTAAGCAGAACTTTGTCGCAGATCTACTGTGTAGCTGCCCCACAAGGCACGACAAATCGTCTTTCGCCCTCCTACGTGACTGAATCCTACAGTAGTCATAAAACCTAGGTGAAGCGATTGTAATTTAAGCATATCGGCGCCTCATTCATTGCTCGCAGTGAAGGAAATTCATTCAGACCTGTGTTTTGGAGGGAACCACAACAGAAACGAACGCACGATGTTATATACGGCGACGTTTAAAAAAATAAGATTATGTTAAGGACTTTACACTTAAACAGGTATGACACTGATGAAGACTACAGATGTTAAGCAATTAATCAACGATCCGTTAGGCTGTCGAACACAGCAATGGCGCGCTGTTTATACCACCCTTAAAATCAGGTATTATTACTAAAAATTATGCAAATGCAAAACAGACGAGGTGTTCCAGACTAAATTGCCCATTTTGTGGAAGTATTGAATTTAAGATGGGATGAAATGAGATGTCAAGAAAGTTAGCCTATTTATTTCAAGGGGGATACGAAATGGTCAAGTGGTGGATTTATAAAAAATGACACGAGTAATGACCGTGAAGTATGCATTGTATGGCATTTAAGGATAAACAGAACTGTTCTCTCTGTTTTATATTGGTGATAATTCCGAATGACAATATGACATTGAACCTGTTGGCGTGCATGCTCGCTTACAAATTATGATTATGTATTTGTCAAACCGTGACTCCAACGCATCTGTGCCGTCGTGGAAGAAATCAGCGTCAAGCGGGCGACAGCAGATGCAAATTGCATACCTGCTAGGCGATACTTTGCGGGTCCGAAGAGTTGGAAGAAACTTGGTGTGGTGTCGGTACAGAGTGGCAGGTGGTCTAGAACCTCTAGAGTGGGAAGAGGAGCCATTGGCTGGTAAGCAGCCTGCAACCGACGATTAAGTTCTTAACGCTGTTTCCTAGCTAAAGGCGCTTGACTCTCCGTTAACTCCGGGACAGACGCCTTGGTGTCATGGTGGCGACTGTGGGGCATGTGATGCGTACCAAAGCCTTGCATTCCACACACACACACACACACACACACACATATATATATATATATATATAGTATATTTAGCGACGTTTTTTCAGTAACTCAGACTATATAGCGTCTGTATTATGTGGTATACATGCATCTGTGTAAGATTGAATTCCTTCACGTTTCCTTATGTTTTTAAACACTTGTATTAGCGTTCTTCAGTTGTAAAATGCTAAGGTTCGTCATACGTTAAGATTATATTTGTGTGTTATTGTCTTTACGCATTTTTGTCATTAGCATCGTCTTCTTAAACAGTCAGCGGAATAATTAAGAAATTTTGGCTTTGTAGTACAGTGAAATGTGTTTAGTAGTAAGAACCTGAGAGCTAAATAAAGTGATCGTTGTTTCTGGGTTAGCAAGTACAAGTGGTGTGATAGTTGTTTGCACCAATAGACGTATCTTTCAAATTAATTTTACCGAAAATCACACATACCATGGCTCTCCAGGTTTCCTAAATAAGCGCTTGACTGGTGTCTTTAGGAGTTTTTTGCTTGCGGACTTTATATGAAAAATGTGGATACTGAATCAAAATTACTTTGTTGCTTTGTATAGAAAGGTGTTTGTAGGATTTGAGGTTCTCACATCGGCTGGAAACAAGGTGGATGCCTTCTGGGTTGTAGCGCCGTGTAGTGTGCTGGAAATTTACCGACGTTTCAGAGGTACTTGCTGCCCCTGAAACTTCGGTAAATTTCTACCAGACTTCGCGGTGCTACAGCCAAGAAGACAGCCATGTTCAAATGTATGTTTGTGTAAATGTATTGGTCTGCTTGCCTGTTGCACCTGAAAATCGTAAAAGAATGTTTATTCTGTGTACGCTCTTTTGCCTTTCTTAGTAAAACGTCAATGTTCTGACGAATGGTATTTTTCTGACTTCATGTAAGCCAGCGTTTGTGTGACACTTCACGTGCAACGCTGCTTTTTCAAAGCCCACTCCGTTTGTAAACTAATCGTTTTGTAAACATTTGTACCATCCATTCTTCTTATTACATAAATTTCAGTCTATTTTATGTGTGAAAGTTGGTCTGTCACCCAGAGGGAAGTATGTGGATTGAGGATGTTGGAGGACAGGTTGCAGATGAGAGAATATTTAAGCCTGACAGGAAGTAGCTAGATAATGATGGAAGTCACATGAGGGGCTTCATAATCTCTACTCTTCGCTGTATATGTATGGTATTCTCATCACGGAGGAAGAGATGGGTGGGGCTAGTAGTACGTGTGGGATAGGTGAGAAATGCGTAACATTTTGGTTGGAAAACCAGGCACGAAGAGGCCGCTTGATGTAGTTTATAAGTAGAACGTCTTACGTTATCCAAATGAGTGTTATTTAATAAACAGCATCAGAACGTAATTGTTTCATTCTGGGAATTAGAATAAATGTTTTGTTTCTTATTTTTGCGTCTTAATTGGATTAAAATTTCGTTTGCCGCTGTTATGGAAGTGTAAATACTTTTTAACGGGTTATGTGTAATAAAATTTGTGTTCCTTTGTTCTTTCAGCCTGCTGATACAAGAAAAATCAACTTAGATGGAACCTCGGACGAGTCTTCGACTGATATCGACACAGAGGATTGCTCTGTTGGGTTTGGAGGGCCACCATCTCCTTGCAACGTGCTCTTCGAGGGCGATAATATTCTTATTAACGGCAAATCTAACCTGCTCAAGCAACCCAAGCAACACAAGGTACTCGGCATATAACATTTCGTTTTTGAGCATTTATCAAATGCCCATGTTCTGTCGGAGCTTTGTTTTGCATGACGATCGATTCAGTATACAAAAGCGTTTGATTACCCGTTCCGCTTATCTAAGATAATATGCTCTCCACAGCGTACCAACCCGATAAATGTCTATAAAAAAACTGTAGATATGTTGAAAAGCCTGTCGGATGAAAGAGGCGGGGCATGTCTTATGTATGGGAAAGATAAAAATGTGTACGAAATTTTGGACGAAAAATAGCAGAATTTTGGAGACGTCTACAATAACAAATTGTAAGGTATCTGTCTATACAGTCAGCGGCGCTAGTGTTGCTCGCATCACAAGCGTTTCAACGATCTTGTTGATGTTGATGCCGAGGTCTTCGAAGGCCTGTACATTGAAGTCCGCCATTGAATCAGTGATGGACGTGTTACAGGGGTCCAAAGAAACGGACGTTAAAATGCCTATGGTGTTAGTACGAGAAGCTGGTAGCTACTGAACTGGGCGAGAAGGATCTGTTTTGAGGAGCCCAAAGGTTCATTACTTTGTTGAAACGAAGCGGTCTCTTTCCTGCAGAGCTTCTGACGGTAATTCTATTTCAAGGCTGTGGAGGAACAGATAGTGCAAAGTTTGCATGCTGACGGGATGTGTGGGCGTTGTCTTGGCGTAGGTGTTCTGTATAGGACGGAAAAGTGCATATTGCATGCAGAAATTACAGTGAGTCAGCTTCTCTTAAGCACAAGGGTTTCCAAATACAGCTAGCGTGCAGGCAAGGCTCTAAATCTTGACTTTGTGGGTATTCAACTTAACCTGCATTCCTCCCCATATGAAACTCTTGGGTTTCACCAAACTTGAATTTGAGTGTTATTTCTCAAAGGTGTATCTAAAATAAGCCCTTCACCTTTGATTGAGCTCACGTTCGCTCGTTTCTTGAATATTCTCTTTGCATTTTTGCAGTGAACATCTGACAGCTGCAGATTAAATATAGGAGTAATCATCGCACCAGTATTCACATTGTGCGCATCCGCCATTCGAATTAGTCATGCATCCATAACCGGAAATGTGTGTGATAATGTATCTTTCTAATTGAAAAGACTGGATGTGTTTTTCCAGTTTCCGGTTGCTAATATAGCAAGAAAAAATATTGAAATGTGTGGAATTTTGTCTCAGAGTTTGAACTAGAATTTTATCACTTGCTCGCATGTAGTTTCACCTTTCGTTCTCTTTGGATACAGGACGCAGGACAGGAATTTGTACCCATAAGGTGTATGTTTTATAGCTTTCGTGGCGACTAAATCCAGCGAAGTCTTCACGGGAAAACGGTCGTTTTTTACGACCGCGTGACGCAGCTGCTTGCCCGGGAAGACTTCATTGTATCCATAAGATCATGATGACAGCAGACCTCATTACTTGAGTGCAGTGTATAGAAAGACCTGGAACTTAACGCTGGTTACTTCGAGAGGCGTCTCAACTGCTGTGGCCACGACTACGTTTCTTAGCACAACCGAGTTCTTTTGCTAGTCGGCCTATTTCCTACACCAGTGCTTGTTAGACTTTGTTAGTTTCTCCCTGTCCACGAATCCAACCAGATTTTGATGACATTTCGTATGACTAGTCTATATTGTATGTAATTTTTATTAAATTGAGAGTTAAGTTGTCATTTAATGTTAGATTTTGCGTTTCGGGGCATGACTTACGCAGATACTGTTAAGGACCCGAAGCGGGAGTTCGTAATTGTCAACACGCAAAGCTTATGAGTGAAGTTTTGTACATTCGGCTGTTTCTGGCAAGTTTTGCAATATGACTGATAAGCAGTTTGTTGGTTTTGTGAGACGATTTTCTAATTTCTATAAGGGATCTTGGCGAAATGTATCTACTTAGTATCATGGCAGGTTAAGGGATACTTCCGTACTTGAATATTCTTTAGATAATTCAATTTATTGTATGAAAATAAAAATTATTGTAAATCAGAAACGTGATGTTCAAGTAATATAATAAAACACACTCTTACGGACAATAATGTTATATTAATAGTTATTTGATTTTTAATTTACATATTTAAATATACTTGGGCCTAATCATTTAATAATTTTTCGATTCAAAACCTCGCGTCTTACTAGTGTGCCGTCGCACCCAGGTTGAGAATCACTGATCTGGAGAGTAATACATGTGTTTGGAAATGTTTGGATGTTTCACTTTAGAAAGCGTTAGTGGAGATGGAAATTGCCTTTTCCAAAGCTTGGTACTGCTGCAGCGACGTGATAAAAGGCAACAAACTGCGTTATCTGATATCTCTTTGAAAGTTGAGCGGTAAACTTTTGCTTCATTTCAAGAAACGAAATTTTCGAAAATTAATTTTCGTCGTGCCTCCTACACATTGAAAACTAAACATCTGTTCGTGACGTATGTAACAGGATGCTCGTCTAAGCGTGGGTGGGATGGCAATGCAAACCATGTTGTCCAAGTGTGTATACTGTATCGAATTTGTTAAGGGAGAGTAGCCTTCCTCTCTAGAAAGAACGTATGGATTACTTATGTTAAGATTTCGAACAAGCTATAAAAAAAGGTCATAGTTATCCAGCGGTGATATGGCCGGATAGCAGTTCCTTTCCAGGTATAGGCAAACCCCGTTAGAGCCCTACACTTTGTTTACCGCCAATAATGGCGTTAAAGCGGGGATGCCAGTCTGCTGATTGTATTCCAATTGAAGTGTGCGTGAGTTCGGTTTCGTACTGTACATTAGAAAACACTTTCATTACGGAAGAGTTGAATACGGCTGTTAAACATAAAAGAAATGGGATGAATCTGTAACTGTTCTACCAGAATTCGCGGAATCTACCTCTTACCGTTCGCAACTTATTCTCCGTAACGTTTCCATGTCCAAGTCATCGCCCTTTCCAGTAGCAGGTTCAATTTCTGAAACTATCTTTATTGGAATGCCACCGTTACATCACTGATCATAAGTAATAACCCGTCTCGAACCCCAAAGCGCCACAGGCGGTTTCAACCTGAGTAGTTTTAACTTGTTAACGTAGAAATATGCATACGGTGTTTTGTAAGTGAATATTCCATGGAATTGTCTGTACAGCTGGTGGAAACAAAATGTCATGTCCATTTGTACTGTCACAGATTTTGGCTGATGGCGCTTTACGGGCCGTGTATTGAGGGGCGCTGTATCGGGGTTTGACTGTATTTAGAACGAGTTGCGAACCTGATAAGGGAACCAAGTAGAAAGTAATTAACTTTCACTCGTGTTATTGTAAGTGATACGTGATTTGACTCACTACAATTCGGTTTCCTTTTGCATAGTTTCCGATATGTACAGAAACAATGTCATTTGACCACCAAATCCGGTTTCGTATAACCACCTTTTTGTTTTTCTTGTTATCCGTGAGTGCACGCACGCACACACTTGCTGGCTGAATGTTTAAACTTCGGGAAGTGGCAGGAGTCATACAGGATGTTGACTTTGGAGCTGGAAATTTGGCACTTCCATGATCATCGGTTCCGAATCAGGGGGCGCGTGATTATTTTCAGAGGGCAACGATAATAAAACCACCACCGTATTGAGCCTTTCATCCATTAATGTGGCCAGTAAAACAGTAACTTTCATCCGTTATGCTTGTACAATTTAAAACAGACCGTTTAAAGCCAAGGAGGACGCTGGGCGAAGTCTTGGATTACTCTAACGCGGTGATAGTTGCCGGCTGTATACGTCTCTCTCTTGCGCAGGCCTTGTAAAGGGCGAATCCCCTTCCAAAGAATCTTACCAAACGTCTCAAGTGATCAATAGTGTCAGAATCTGTTATAAATTAGAAATGTCATGTGGCCTAATCCATGAGTGTTAAATATTTCCTAGCCAGAATATGCAGATAAAAGTGTGTTTAGTCGTATTTTGAATGCCACAGTTTCCTTCGGTTTTTAATTTCTGAATCCGATGTGCACATTGGAACTGGTTCCTTGCACGACTGTTGAATCAGTACAAATGGTCAATGGCTTCAGATGCTAAATATCATATGTGTGTTACTTTATAGGTCAGTATTTATGCACAACGCTCATAACAAGCACTGTAAAGATATTCCTGCCTGTTGTACGAGTGTCACTCCAAAAGTAATGCACCATATTAAAAAAATCCCCCTTTATTCTACCGTGTTGCTATTCGCACAGAACACATACATTCGTCCCGCTTCTGGTAAAACTTGGTTCATCCTTCTGCAAGTGGCACATGTATATCATTCGTTAGACATGGCCGCTGCCCTTGACGTTCGTCAGAAATAATGTGCTGTTATCGAGTTCCTGGTGTGTGATAACAAGCGATTGCAAAAGGTGTACGGGGAGGATACTGCCGATCGCAGCACACTTGGCCATCAGGCAAAGGTGTACATGCAAATATTCGCGATTTGAAGCGGACGGATGCCAATGTTGAGAGGGTGAACAACATGATAATGGCGGACAGACGCATAACCGTGAAACAATTGTCACTCCGACTGGACATTGCAGAATTTTGGAACAGGTGGGATTTTCGAAAGTCTGTGCGGCAACTGACAGACGCACGTCAGTCTGAGAACCACGGAGGCGAACACAAAATTGAGGTGGACAGTGTTGCCACACCCACCATACAGTCCTGATTTGCCACCGTCAGATTATCACCTGTTCGGTAAATTGAAAGAGAGCATTTGTGGGACAAAGTTGGTTGCAGCATTTGCGAAAAAGTGGCTCAGAAGCGCTGATCCTGAGTTTTACCGTGCGGGCATACATGCCCTGGTTCCGAGGTGGCGTAAGGCAGTTGAAAGAGACGGAGACTACGTTGAAAAGTAGCATTTTGGTCCCAAAATGCTGTACCTATCCACTGTGTGAATAGCAAAATTGTAAAATAAAAATTGAATTTTAAAATATATGGTGCATTACTTTTGGAGTTACCCTCGTAGAACGGGTTACATCCAAGCGCATTTTGTTAGCCGAGTCCATGTTACACAATACGACCGTTT